CTGTACTGTTCCACCATCCTCCTAATAAGGTGGATAGCTTCTGTGGTAGATCGTCCCGGCATGAACCCGAACTGGTTGTCTGAAATAGACACCGTCCTTCGCACTCTCATTTCTACCACTCTCTCCCAAACTTTCATGGTATGACTTAGTAATTTGATGCCCCTATAGTTGTTACAGCTCTGGACATCACCTTTGTTCTTATACAACGGGACCATTGTACTCCACCTCCACTCTTCAGGCATCCTATTAGTCTTGAATATAACACTAAACAATGCAGTAAGCCATTCCAAGCCTGCTCTACCCACACACCTCCACAGTTCAACCGGAATTTCGAGTCAGAGTCTTCATGGACTTGTATTTTGATATAGTCTTTCCTATTAATCCAATTAGAGATGTCCTTTTTGGCTTGCATAACCCCTTACTCTGAAAAAGGCGACTTAATTGTCAACTTGATTCTTGCCTAACCCCGTATTCCACATGCTCCACATATATACTATTCTCATACGGCATGTCACGCCGTTCCTTAACTGAAGAAAAAAAAATTTAACGCCGCCTGTGTTTGAGTTATACTTTAACACAGCCGGTTTTTCGTATTTAGTAGTAATAGCTTTACTGCAAGCTTCCCTAATCGCTTCTATTGTGAATTGCAGTTAACTAGCTGCTTTCTGGTTCCATTAAAGCGGAAAATATTGAAGCTATATCTCACACTTTCAAGGACTCTGCTTTTATTAGTAAACCAGCTGGAGGAATTTGAATATCTGTGCTTTACAGTTCTAAATTGCAGGGGGTTAAAGCCTTCTTTTGATTTTGTTTCTCACCGTGTTAGCCGCATATAGGTGCTTTTGATGTCTATCTTTTTATATAAAGTGGGCAACGCCTTGTTTCAAGTTACCAGTTAGTTAGTCTATATATACATTGATGTGAACTGAGCATGTTCAGCGATCCTTTTAGACCTACCTTTTTGCAAAATTCAAGTCTGCTCTATGACTATATTTTTGGCGTCCTGCATAAATAAATAAAAACATAGCTACTTATTCTAATAGGGTATTAAGATGTTAAATGCAAGGATAGTTGTTAGCAGCTTGTTAGGACATTGAAGGGGGCTATTGTTCTCATAGATGTTGAAATACAGGTGGATAGAATTGCAGCCATGTAAATCAATAAATTAGTGTTCCATGTGTTCTCACCATTTGTTTTGACTTGCATTTTTCAAAAGTGATCAGGCATAATGATAACTTGGTTTTGAGTGCTGATTACTATTGTGTTGAATATTACTTTTAGATGTCAATTCTTTTTTCAGAATTCTTTTAATTTCTCTGCTGAAAGTGAGGAGTATTCCAATAGTGTGTTTTCCCTTGTAATAAAATTTAGACTTATTGTGTTTTTCGTGTGCACTGGGGCAACTTATTGATGAAGTAGAAAGACTTGCCTAGAGTTTTGTTGATATTGTGGATTCCGTGTACCCGTAAGCTAGAATTCCCTTGACAGCGAAACCATTGTTGACTTGTGAAAGTATTAGCAATAATCTGGATTCAGGAACGGCAAATACATTATGTTTTATTTTGTTAACATGGTAAAAATACATGTTCTTCAGCTGAATATTGTACTCCGTGTGATGAGAGACTGTATTTATCGGGGAAAAAAAAGGGTATAATGCAAACTACAAGCACGGGCTAGTCCCATCTATTGTATAAATAAAATAATATATCCTCAGCAATGATATCTAGACCAAGTTGTCTTGTCTTAACGAGCAGAAAAATTATGTTGCAAGCTCAAACAATTCGATAAATTTCATTAGCATAGTGCCGTTGAGCAATCCGAAACCTTTCTTTAGGCACTGTCTTAATGCAGGAATTGAATAACATGAGTTTTAAATCTGACCAACTTCTTATGCTAAGGGCACTGTCTTAATGCAGGAATTGAATAACATGAGTTTTAAATCTGACCAACTTCTTATGCTAAGTCAGTTTTGTATAGATATAGTTTACTGTTCAGTTGTAGAAATTTGTCACATACGGCCTGACAAATGCAAAAGCAGTATCCATATGTAAGTGTAGCTAACTCGTGTAGAGCAAGTTTTGTTGGTCGTTTCTAAAATGCGAAAGAGTAGACTGAGGAATATTCTACTTTACAGACTTGTGTCACGTCCTTAGTTTTAAACTAGGCGCATGTGCGGCACTTGACAATTTGTTTACGAACTTGGTATGCCAAGTTAGCCTAGATTACTACACTCAAGATTGCTAAGAGAATGTTAGATAAGAAAGACTAAAAGACAAGGGAAATTTGCCAAATGAAGCTTTTTATTGTAGAGAACTTGAATGTTTTTCTTGATGAGATACAAATGAATAGCCTCCTTTATATACTAGTTTTCTAGGGGCTAGTGAGTCAATAATAATTATTACACAAGGCCCTTATTATTTGCAAGTAAGTCCCTTCTCTAGAATATTCTACATAACTAAGATCTTTTAAGGACTTTCCAAGCAATTTCATAGGGTTCTAAGGTCTTCCATGAGATATCTTCATATTTCTCTAGAACCTTCCCACATGTGTCAGTCTATTTCATATGTAAGTTTTTCATATGTCAAAAATATATTCCAAATGGCACCTACGTGGCATGAGGATATGGCAGGCCATGACACTCCTCCACCCAATTTTGTGCGTCCCTCGGCACAAAGCATCGACACGTGCTCGCCCTAGCGTCGCCGAAGATCTTTGTCCATTAGCCATGATGCCCTATGGAGCCGTTCGCCTTCCCATGTCACAAGGTATTGGTCACCTTTCTTCTTGCCCCATTTGTACTTTGGACGACTAGCAATGATGGTTTCGATCCTCCACCCATCGGATGTCTCTCCTTGCTTTTGGGCTGAATCTCCCCATGACTCAACCAAGTCTAGCAGCTTCTTAAGCATCGGGTCATGCTTCCACTCCTTATTTGGCTGCCATCCGTGGTCCCAGCTATGCTAGCAAACTTGACCCATTTGTTAGTGCATCATCTAAGTCCGATAGAGTGTCATCACTTTGTAACTCGCCATCCTTTTCAACTATGTCCGCCTAACTTTTCTTGTTGCCACCATGCTCTATTTGCATGGCGCCAAGATAGGCTTTGGAATTCCCTACTCTTGGCTTTGATTCCAGGCGCATCCCCCCAATGCATGCGGTCCCTCATGTGTAACCCTTGTGTGCTTGAGCCAAGTTCCTGATCATTGCTGCAAGCTTTCCTAACTTTGGGCATTCACCTGCCCGATGTGATCCTTTTCAAAAGTAGCACCCTCTTTTAGGCACGTACTCGTTACCATTTTCCGCCCCCTTGCCCGTTCTCTTGGACCCCTATCCGTTATGGGATGGCCCCTTGTCATTGCCCTTGTATACCTTCGATATACCTTTTGGATAGGGCGACGTGACACGCAATGGATCGGTTAGAAAGGAGAACAAATTGATCACATGTCCCCTTCTCAACAACCTTTCCCGCATCAGTAGATAGAGTAGATTTCCTATCCTTGGTCAACCTAATCGTTGTCCTTCATGATCTCCCCACCCCTTTCGGCGTTGCTTTCTTTGGACTTGGTAGGCTCCATCTTGAAGTCAACGAGCGACTCGACTACCTCTATGGCCTCGTCCACGTTGGTTACTTGATGTTTTCTTAACTCCTGCTTTGCCTAATTTTGCAACCCATCCATGAAGTAGAAGAGTGAATCTTCTTTGGACAATGACAAGATTTGCAACATTAAAGTAGTGAACTCGCGCACATACTCGCAAATTGTGGCCGACTGTCGGAGCTCCCTTAGCTTCCGCCTAGCCTTGTACACCACATTCATTGGGTGAATTGCTTATTCAACCCCTTCTTGATCTGCTCCCATGTCTCAATCTTGCATAGCCCCTTCTCCATGTAAGCACACTTTCGACGCCACCATAACGCGTCAACCTCGGTCAAGCACATTGAGGTGTTGCATACCTTAACAACTTCGTCATCCTCCTTAACTACCTCAAAGTACTTGTTCATCCTCCAAACTAAGTTTGCCACCTCGAGTGCGTCACGTGCACCACTACACTACTTTCGCTTAGGGACCTTCACATTGGTCCCTTTTGCAAGTACTAAGTCCTTGGTAATTCCGACCATGGTTCCCTATAAAACTTCCTTCTAGAAATCTCTTGTATTCTTTCTAACATTCTTATAGTCATAACCTTTGCTCTGATACCGCGTTGTCACGTGCTTAGTTTTCAATTAAGCGCATGTGCGGCACTTGACAACTTGCTCAGGATCTTGCACAACTTGCTCACGTACTTGCTATGCCAAGTCATCCTAGATAACTACACTTAAGATCGCTAAGAGAATGTTAGGTAAGAAAGACGGAAAGACAAGAGAAATTTACCAAATAAAGCTTTTTATTGTAGAAAACTTGATTGTTTTCTTGATGAGTTACAATGAATAGCCGCCTTTATATACTAGTCTCCTTGGGGCTAGTGAGTAAATAATAATTACTACACAAGGCCTTATTATTTATAAGTAAGTCCCTTCTCTAGAATATTCTACATAGCTAGAATCTTCGAAGGAATTTTCTAGAAATTCCATAGGGTTCTAAGGTCTTCCATGAGAAATCTTCGTATTTCTCTAGAACCTTCCCACATGTGCTAGTCTATTTCATATGTAAGCTTTCCATATGTCAAAATATATGCCAAGTTACACCTACATGGCATGATGATGTGGCGGACCATGACACTCTCCTCCACCCAATTTTGTATCGCCCTCTTCACAAAGTATCGACATGTACGTGCGCACCTCACCATGGAATCACCGGAGATCTTTGTCCATTAGCCATGATGCTCTATGGAGTCGTTCGCCTTCCCATGTCACAAGGTACTGGTCACCTTTCTTCTTGCCCCGTTTGTACTTTGGACGACTAGCAATGATGATCTCGATACTCCGCCCATCAGATGTCTCTCCTTGCTTTTGGGCTGAATCTCCCCATGACTCAACCAAGTCTAGCAGCTTCTTAAGCATCGGGTCATGCTTCCACTCCTTATTTGACTGCCATCTGTGGTCCCAGCTTTTCTAGCAAACTTGACCCCTCTGCTTGGTGCATCATCTAAGTCTGATAGAGTGTCATCACTTTGTAACTCGCCATCCTTTTCAACTATCTTCGCCCAAATTTTCTTGTTGCCACCATGCTCCATTTGCATGGCGCCAAGATAGGCTTTGGAATCCTCTACTTTTGGCTTAGATTCTAGGCACATCCCCCCAATGCAGGCAGTCCCTCATGACTCACCCTTGTGTGCCTGCGCAAAGTTCCCGATCATTGCTGCAAGCTTTCCCAACTCTGGTCATTCACCTGCCTGATGTGATCCTTTACAAAAGTAGCACCTTCTTTTGGGCACGTACTCGCTACTGTTTTTCGGCCCCTTTCCCTTTGTCTTGGACCCCTGTCTGTTATGGGATGGCCCATTGCCATTGTCTTTGTATAACTTGGCTATGTCTTTCTCGTTGTCTTTGTCATGATCTCCCCCACCCCTCTCGGCATTGCTTTCTTTGGACTTGGCAGGCTCCATCTTGAAGTCAACAAGCAACTCGGCTACCTCTATGGCCTCGTCCGCTTTGGCTACCTTATGTCTTCTTAACTCCTGCTTTGCCCAATTTTTCAACCCATCCATGAAGTAGAAGAGGGAATCTTCCTCGAACAATGACGAGATTTGCAGCATTAAGGTAGTGAACTAGCGCACATACTCCCGAATTGTGGCCGATTATCGTAGTTCCCTTATCTCCCGCCTAGCCTCATATACCACATTCATCGGATAGAATTACTTCTACAACTCCTTCTTGAACTACTCCACGTCTCAAGCTTAGATAGCCCTTTCTCCATGTAAGCACACTTTCGACGCCACCATAACGCGACAACCTAGATCAAGTACATTGGGGCGTTGCGTACCTTAAAAACTTTGTCATCCTCCTTGACTACCTCAAAGTACTTGTCCATCCTCCAAAGTAGGTTTTCCACCTCGTGTGCGTCCCGTGCGACGCTACACTACTTTTGCTTGGGACCTTCACATTGGTCCCTTTTGAAAGCACCAAGCCCTTGGTAATTCCGACCATTGTTCCTTACAAAGCTTCCATCTAGCAATCTCTTGTATTCTTTCTAACATTCCTTGTCATAACCTTTGCTATGATATCACGTTGCAACGTCCTTAGTTTTAAACTAAGTGCACGTGCGGTACTTGATAACTTGCTCACGATCTTATACAACTTGCTCACGAACTTGCTATACCAAGTCAGCTTAGATTACTACACTCAAGATTGCCAAGAGAATGTTAGATAAGAAAGACTGAAAGACAAGAAAATTTTGCCAAATGAAGCTTTTTATTGTAGAGAACTTGATTGTTTTTTCTTGATGGGTTACAAATGAATAGTCTCTTTGTATACTAGTCTCCTAGGGGCTAATGAGTAAATAATAATTATTACACAAGGCCCTTATTATTTACAAGTAAGTCCCTTCTCTAGAATATTCTACATAGCTAGAATCTTCTTAGGACTTTCCTAGCAGTTCCATAGGGTTCGAATGTCTTCCATGAGAAATCTCCGTATTTTTCTGGAACATTCCCACATGTGTTAGTCTATTTCATATGTAAGCATTCCATACATCAAAAACATATGCCAAGTGGAAACTATGTGGCATGATGATATGGCGGTCCATGACACTCTTCTCCACCCAATTTTGTGCCGCCCTCGGCACAAATCATCGACATGTACGCGTGCACCTTGCCTTGGCGTCACCGGAGATCTTTGTCCATTAGCCATGATGCCCTATGGAGCGGTTCGCTTTCCCATGTCACAAGGTATTGGTCACCTTTCTTCTTGCCCTGTTTGTACTTTGGACAGCTAGCAATGATGGTCTCGATCCTCCACCCATCGGATGTGACCCCTTGCTCTTGGCATGAATCTCCCCGTGACTCAACCAAGTCTAGCAGCTTCTCAAGCATCGAGTCTATGTTTCCACTCCTTATTTGGCTACCCTCCATAGTCCCAGCCTTGCTAGCAAACTTGACCCCTCTGCTTGGTGCATTGTCTAAGTCTGATAGAGTGTCATCACTTTGTAACTCGTCATCCTTTTCAACTATGTCTGCCCAACTTTGTTGCCACCGTGCTCCATTTGCATGGCGCCAAGATAGGCTTTGGAATCCCGTCCTTTCGGCTTAGATTCCAGGCGCATCCCCCAATGCAGGCGGTCCCTCATGTGTCACCCTTGTGTACCTGAGCAAAGTTCCCGATTATTGCTGCAAGCTTTTCGAACTCTGGGCGTTCACCTGCCCGATGTGATCCTTTACAAAAGTAGCACCTTTTTTTAGGCACGTACTCACACTATTTTGTGGCCCTTTGCCGTTTCTCTTGCATCATGTCCGTTATGGGATGGCCCCTTGCCATTGCCCTTATATACCTTGGCTATGCCTTTCTTGTTGTCCTTGTCATTATCTCCCCCACCTATCTCGGCGTTGCTTTCTTTGGACTTGGCAGGCTCCATCTTGAAGTCAACGAACGACTCAGCTACCTCTATGGCTTCGTCCACTTTGGCTACCTGATGTTTTCTTAACTTCTGCTTTGCCCAATTTCGCAACTCATTCATGAGGTAGAAGAGGCAATCTTCCTCGGACAATGATGAGATTTGCAGCATTAATGTAGTGAACTCGCGCACATACTCCCGAATTGTGACCGTTTGTCGGAGCTCCTTTAGCTTCCGCCTAGCCTCGTACACCAAATTTATCGGGTAGAATTGCTTCTTCAACTCCTTCTTGAACTGCTCCCACGTCTCAATCTTGCATAGCCCCTTCAAACTCAAGGAACTGCTTTGCCTCTAGGTTGACTTGGATCACATCATCCCGAACTTTTGATCGTATGTCGTCCAGCTTTGTTGGTGTTGTGGGTGTCAATCTTCTAATGTCAGCTCTCTGGTAGGACAATCGATCTCTGCTTGATTAGCCGTAACTGCATGATTGATCTGATGAAGATTCCTATGAACTACAGCCGAATTCCATGTCAACACACTGTCGATGCCACCATAACGCGGCAACCTCGGCCAAGTACATTGAGGCATTGCGTACCTTAACAACTTCGTCATTCTCCTTGACTATCTCAAAGTACTTGTCCATCCTCCAAAGTAGGTTTGCCACCTCGCGTGCGTCCCATGCAATGCTACTCTACTTTCACTTACGGACCTTCACATTGGTCCCTTTTGCAAGTACCAAGCCCTTGGTAATTCCGACTATGGTTCCCTACAAAGCTTCCTTCTAGCAATCTCTTGTATTCTTTCTAACATTCCTTTAGTTATAACTTTTGCTCTGGTACCACGTTGTTACATCCTTAGTTTTAAACTAAGCGCATGTACGACACTTGACAACTTGCTCACGAACTTGCTATTACAAGTCAGCCAAGATTACAACACTCAAGATCGCTAAGAGAATGTTAGATAAGAAAGACTGAAAGACGAGAAATTTGTCAAATGAAGCTTTTTATTGTAGAGAACTTGATTGTTTTTCTTGATGAGTTACAAATGAATAGCCCTATTTATATACTAGTCTGCTAGGGGCTAGTGAGTAAATAACAATTAACACAAGGCCCTTATTATTTACAAGTAAGTCCCTTCTCTAGAATATTCTACATTGCTAGAATCTTCTGAGGTCTTTCCTAGCAATTGCATGGGGTTCTAAGGTTATCCATGAGATATCTACGTATTTCTCTACAACTTTCCCGCATGTGCTAGTCTATTTCATATGTAAGCTTTTTATATGTCAAAAACATATGCCAAGTGGCACCTACATGGCATGATGATGTGGCGGGCCATGACACTCTCCTACGCCCGCTCAACTTTCTACCTCACCTATTCCAAGTATTTTAGTAAAACCACTCCTTTCAAAGTCAACCAAATGTTTTTTTTTTCTTTATCCAAAGCAAAAGATATTCTTTTCCTACTTTTCAATCCAATTTTTTAGTCGGGGGTGAAATTATGAAAGAGAAGGTGGAGGGCAGTTAGGTTGCTATGTAAGAACGTCAATCTTCAAAAGTGAGCCGTTGAGACATAAGATGTGAAAGTAGGCAATATTGATTATCACGAGTTCCACTTGTACTTGAATCTGCTGCACCCAAGTTTTCTGTAATAAAAGAAAAATTACTTCGGCAGCGAGTGGAATATCAACAAATCTCATGGAACACCTATCTTTACGAGATTCCAATAAGATTTGGGCAAATAATTGAACAAATGTTGCATGTTCTGTTACATGAGAAACAATGTACTTTGAAACTACTAAGACTAACAATTTTCCCGCTTGAATACACTCAAAGCTGAGAAGGGCCTAGTCCAGAAACAAAAAAGTCTATGATCAGTTACCATGGAGATTGCAATGGCTTCTCCAGCAATAAATTGATTAGAAGTTCCATCTCATGGTCATCAGCGAGGATCTATGGAAAGAAGAATGATATTAACGGATCAAAAATCAGTTAAATAGACGCTCAATTATGTATGTTTCCTCGCACGACCACTGGAAGGAGCAGCATCCTCTTTCCTAGTACCAGATGCCTCAGGCTTCCTCGCCCACGCGGGTGCACTGTCTGGCTCATAACGATAATCATAAAAGAGTTCTTCTCCAGCGCAAATTCTTTCATTGGCAAAGATACCAACTCTGTGATCTCCAGCCACCATCATGACCTATCGAAGAGTTGAGTCAGCAACGCAGAAACAGGAATTCTACCATGGCCTCGAAGTTTTTATATAAATTTAACTACCTTAGCATAGCAATTTGGAACAGGAGAATGATTTGCAAATTTTAGTTTATCGCCCTTCCGATGAGCATCAAGCACAAACTGCACCAGGAAAAAGATAAGTTGTTCGTATGAGTTGGGGCTGAGACCATTAATTCTAGGGAATAAAATACAAATAGCCGAGTATAGAGGGTGTTGTGTCTCATGCCTGATCATTTAGATTGAATAGAAATGAAGAATTTTCACGATCATAAATCTTTCCGCGCTTGTCAGCTTCACGGTGTGAAATTAATTCACCTGTGTACTCCCCAAGGTATTCATGCTTTCCAACAGTATTCTGAAAGTAATGCTTAAAGATGAGGCCCCAAGAAACATGTTTCTACTTTATGTAAACCCATCATGTTGTCAGATCTTACCTTCAAGAAAGCTCCCCAGCCAGAAACATCAGATCTACCAAGAAGAACCTGTAGATGAATATAAGTCATCACAATCAGCCTAGAGCTGAGATTTGGCAACTTTCATTCTTAACTTAGAACACCACGGAGAAGGTGGGAAGGAGAAGGAAAGCAGCAGCTTCCTTATGATGACTAATTACAGCAAAAGCTCAAATGATACATAAAACTATAAATGTGCAATAGAGCAATATAATTCTCCACCTCAAAATGAATACCGCAAGAGTTTTTTCACTTAGGGTGGACCGTCACAGCAAGGTACTAGAGAACGAATGAAAGGGCCTCCTTGTCAATTAGGACCAAGCCAGAAACATTCTTAAGAATTGACTCAACAATCTAGCCAGGGAAGAAGTTGAACATAAAAGATTAAAAAAGAAGTCATCTAATTCAAGAGCACACAAATTTTCAAAAGAAAAATCTTTTCCAGATAGAGGACAGAGGACAGTAATAGAACCCAGTAAAAGAATGTATACCCATTGGATAAGAAACTTCAATTCAAAAATTGATACCCTCTTTACGGAGAAAAAGGAAGACCCAGTAATAATTACTTGTCTATGTGGTAAAATTTCACCAGATTCAAGAAGAAATAACAAATATAAGTACCTTTTGTTGCTGTTTGAGAAGTAGCTTCATATTCCTGCATTCATGACTATCACCTCTTTGCGGAGGAACCCCAAGAGTACCATCACCACAACTGGGAAAGCCAAATAACATGCACGCAAATTATTTGCGAAAAGAGATGAGTGCTAAAACATACAAGTTTTGTTCATTTTGAAAGATAAGACTATTGTTAAAGTCCGCACAAGACAAGCATTATATGAACTGTTTAGCTTGGCAGTTAAAAATAGTTACTGCTAAGTTTGTAATAATTGCTAATGCAAAAAGGTTTAGTCCTTCAATTGGCATACCCACAACCCGAAAAAGTAGAATCAAGGCTTTGGAAAAAAATGGTGAGATTTGGGACAAAAAGGAACTCCACTACCACTTTCCGCTAGAAAGGATCAAGATGATTAGCAAGTACTAACCCAAGGCAGGTATACAGAAGATGGGCGATCCAACGAAGGAAAAAAACTAATAAAAATGTCCGTGGGCACTAGAAACAGTTTCTGCTATGGTATTGCTAATCCAAATCAACAGCTTAAAGGAACTAGAAAGCAACAGAAAATAACAGCATGGCTGATAGAACGCACCTGATCCAACAATTTCGACAAACATCAGGATCACATTCCCTGCCTGCAGCAAAGCAAGGGCATTGACGGCTTCTACATTGACTTTTGGCACAATGACAACCACGAAACCTATTTTTGCAACTCTTTGGGCATCTAGGAATAAAAATAGCAAAGCACTCGAGGAACATTAGCTAATCAAAGCATTAAATCTGTAATAACAAAGAGATGTATGGCAAAAGATACAAAGTCTGAGGTTGTGAATTTCAAAAGTGGTACCCCAGTGTCTGCTTCACGGTTCTCATAGCAATTTCTTTTTTAATAAGAAGCAAATGTTCAATGAGAAAATCTCATAGTTACTCATGGCAATTTCAAGAGAACAATGCTGACTTACATAAAGTGTATAAGAAAATCTCATAGCAATTTCAAGAGAACAATGCTGACTTACCCACAGTATTTTTCGCAGCAGGTCCCATTTACAATGCAGGGACACTCTTTTCCACAAGGGCCTTGACAGCCACATGGATTAAACTGCCGACAGGGTTGATCCTTCCTCTCAGAAATCCGTTTCCTAATTGCATGATATCCAGCAGATTTCCATGTGTATTTTAAACGGCGAACTCTGCCTCTTCTACGTAAAAATTTGGATCTTCTTCGAGGTTCATTACCCTAAAATATATTATGAATTTATTATCACAACAGGATTTACCTAAGCGGGCTATGATTCAACTTCCCTTACCTAAGCAGAACAATTTTGAGAAAAGTAAACACTGACCATGATTTCCTGACCATCGTTGGAACCACCTTCAAGACCGCCATTCATCCCATCACATGCTCCTGAGAATAGCTTATTCCCGGAATTGTTCATATACTGGAAAACCTCCCAGCATGTCTTCAAACCATTCATGAGATTTCGAGCTATCAAACAGCTGTATAACAAATAAAGTTGATAATCCAGGTTAAAATCAAAGGTGTAATGATACAAATAAGAAAGGCACTCAAATTTATCACCCAAAGGAAAAAAAATTTAATCTTCACAACCAATGAAACATAAAGGAGTTCGTCTGTAGGTTTTCATATTCAATGTTTAAACAACTCAACTGGCGGTTCGCTTAGTACAAATAGGCTGACTCAGTTCATCTCATAAAGTTTGGACAAATCGCCATACCCTAAGTTTCTAATTTCTGAGAGTGAAGAAAATCACTGCCTTATGGGTAGATATGATACTTCTCTTGCTGTACAAACAACAAATGACCCCAGGATAAATTTACATTATCTCTCATTTAAGGATTGCAAATTAGTGACTAGAAGCTTGCTTTATGTGAACTTTGAGCAGTCAGATATCTTGGTACACAGTAGACTCGGTGGCAACCAAATGATCAAGGTTGTGAGTTGATAACAGACCAAGTTGGACATGTGAACTTGTATGATGGCCAATGGGTAACAATAAATAAATAAACCTTACATTTTCATTAATTAGGAGGCACTGTAAAACGGGATCCGAATCCACAGCATCAAAGAAAGCTATCCAAGCCAGCTTTTCTTTTTTCCCCTTGTTTGGACAACGGTGGTATCTAGGCCAACTTGTGTGCTTGCTTTTCGAAAGCTAGCACAAGGCATCTAACTAATATGCTGAACGTCATTTTCTTTTTTAGTCAGAAGGCAGGCAATGTGAGTGATAATTTCACATCTTATAATACAAAACGACAAAACTTATAAAGATGACCCACGACCCACGCATATGGAAGCAAAATAAGCAAGACCAGAGATATAGCAAAGCATAGTTTTGGAGTTTACCAACCTGTTTCTACCAAACATTTCTAGACCCTTTTCAAAGAGAGCCTTTTCAATGGGTCTCCAAGATTTAGCACTATCTATTTCTTGTTTGCAGTTACTCTCACCCACATATTCATTTTTCCTCGACGAGTCATCATAATTTGTCACAGGTTTGTCACTGGTAGCTTCCAGCAATTGGCAACCAAAAGCCTCTCCTTGCAAAGAACTTTTACTGTCCAAAACTGGAGAGTTTTTCCTCCTGGACCTTTTAGCACTATTACATTGTGTTTTTTGTGAAGATGGACTCACATCTTCATTTTCCTTCTGTGAAATACAATGAAGATTCAAATCTTTGGAACCTAGACTTCCACTTGCAACAGAGTCGGATTCTAAAGCTGTCATTTTCTTCTGCCTTTTCTTAATGGCAACTAGAACATGTTCAGCTATTCGCTTGCTGTTCCTTTTGTTGCTCCCATCTTTACTGGCAGATTTGCTTTTCAATGGAGATGAAGAGTGCTCATTAGGAGTGACATTATTTATGGGTCTAATCTCTGAATCACTGCTCTCCGAGGTGTTTTTCGCATTTGATGGAGCACCTTCACCTTGTGAAGACTTTGATCTTCTCGACACATGCTTCCTACTTGGCATCTGAGTATTATTAGCAACGTCAGATGGCAGGACAGATTTTTTGCCATGAGTAGCGCTCTGAGGACAGATCATTGTAGTAGCATTACTTTCGAACTTTATAGCCTGAAGTGCATAAAAAAGCAAATAAGATTTGGAGGTAGTACGACCAAAAAAGCGATACAAAAACCAGCATACCTAATTTGTACTGCTAGATTTTTTAGACATAAGAAAAAAAAGCAGGAAGCCAAATTAATCCTCAAATGTCTAAAAATTGTACAATTTTAGAGAGGAAAGATACCAGATTGTAGCAATTTGGACCACAGGGCTCCATATCTGCATTAGAGCAGTACCATGGTAGTTGTTTTTCAGCCTAATTAATGTAAAAAGACATCATAAGCATCCCATTTCGAGTACATACAGTTCCAAGGTAATGAAACATCTGTCGGAAGACCAATAACGTACAGGAAAAATAAGATCCTGTGAACATCCATGTAATCTACAATCAAAGACCTGCCAGTGTGGGCAAAATGAGAAGGAAAACATTTTATAAGTAGGAAGAAGTACGAAACCAAAAAAAACAACGAGAAGAGAAGATTCGATATAACATATTATGTGGTAGTTTGGTAAACAAAAAGTAAGAGGAATAACCAAAGATATACTTACAAGACATCGACGACAAAATAGATTATCAAAAGAATCCAGAGCGGCATCAAGATCTTTGGCAAGATATAAATCTAAAGAACTTTCCGTGTACTCATTCTTTGAAGAGCCTGCATTATCTTTCTTAACAAGATCTTCATATCTCGCCTGTATAAATGTTTGATGGTGTTTTATCTCTGTAAAGCCAGCAAAAACCAAGAAATGGGAAACAGCTGGACCAGAGTTCGCACTATGACCAGTTTTATTAGATAATGGATGCTTAATGACAAAGTGTAACAAATATCAAAACCAAGTGTGTACCTTCACTTCACTAGGTTTTCTAGACAAGCACTGTCCTAGCAATTCCAACACACTGTCGGACAAGCCAACTTCTTTGATCGTCATTCTGCGAATAAGCAGACAAAGATACATTATCTTGACCATCGTATTCGTGACATAAAAATCTAGATCAAGTTCTACATTCAGGGATACATAAAAACAAGACTTAGCTTAAGTCTGGGAAGAATTATCAAACAATTGCAGTAGATTTAGACAGAATACAAGCTTAGAAATTATGCACAGCCTTTATAAATTAAGAGAATACGGACACCCATACTTGGCATCATTAACAGTAATTAATACAACTGTCATGATAGCATGAGATTAAAAAGGTGGAAGCCACCTCAAGATTAACTACAGTCAGATTGTGATGATCTTGTCTTCAAAGTAATTAGCAAGCGCCATAGGCCCAATGTCTGAACTTTCTCTACACGACTGGAAAGTATGTCTTTTTTTTTTGGGTAAGGGAATATTAGTTCTCAAGGTATAATATTCACAGCGGAGAAAGAAAAAAAATAGCTATGACATACGTAACAGGTAAATCTTTCCTATGGGAATATTACTGACCCAAAGTGGAGGAAATATTGATGGAACTATCTAGTTCTAATCCCCTAGCTAAAGAATACTTAATCCTTCAGAGAAACATGATGCCATTGTTCCATGTGGAAAACGTTTTCTCTGAAGAAGATTCTCCATCTACCAGAAAGAAAAAGAAATTACTAAAGGGCACAATTGACTTCAGGTAGCTTAATTTTACCAACCGCAGCATATAATCTTCGGACTCTGCAAACACCTTCTTTTCTTCTTCTTCTTCAAGTACTTCTTCATCACTATCACTACAAATTAAAGTTTCTCCACCATTCTGGTCATAATAAATTCTTCTACGACCAACCACAGATTGATCCTCAGTCATTCTCTGATTTCTGCAAAACGCAATGTAGGACCAGAAAAATTAAAATATCAGGAAGAGAAGTAACTGGCAATAGCTACAATGAACACTTTGACACCTACAACTATCAAAATGGTGAAGCGGCATTGTTAATGGAAATTTTAACATTTAGAGTCCCAGTTATTTCCTGGCTTTGGACAGAAAAAAAAAAAGGCAATAAGGAAAAGAGGTAAAAAAATTTGAGACAGCCCTATCGCTGAAAACCAATGCAAATAACCCACAAAAAGACATGCATCAATTTCTCCATTCTGCCTTCTAAGAATAAAGAGACTGTACAAACTACTATGTAAAACAAGGATACATCAACATAGGTCTCTTTTGGAGTATGCGGAATAAACAGGATAGGAGGTTGTTTCATAATAGTGGGAATAATGTCAAAGCATTAAAAAAACTTTTTTATTTCACTTGTATTTTTGGTGTAAAGAGAAAATACCATTGGTAGTTGATCAAGCTTGGTGGAAGAAAGTGCATCACCCAGACAGACGCACATCTTGTACATATTTTTGGACACCGAATTGGTGTTTATTAATGAAATTCTTTGACTTACAACAATATCAAAGTTCTCTGTGAAGAGGGAGGAACGAAATCCAACAGATAACCACTTAATCAGTATTGACATACTAAGATCAGGTTCACATATCCAGAAACACAGGCATCAACTAAAATCCACTACTGCACTGATCTTTAGCCTGTAGGAATAATAATCATAAAGAAGACGGTCCTGAAGTCAAGAATATTACAAGTTATATCTAAGATCATACAAGAGATTAAGATAAAAGCTGCTATAGACTATAAATTAAGAGGATAGGCAGTTCCTTTTTCTTTTCTTTTTTTGATAAGTAAGAGGATAGGTGGTTCTACTTGGCTTTCATTACAGAATACAAGCATTGGATAAAAAGTCCTATTCTGGGTATGAGATTAAAAGTTAACAAACTAATAGGAGATGAGAATAATGATTAAAAGCTATTCTCAAGGCATGTACAGTTTTAGAGAAACCTCATTAATAATTTAATATAGCTGGGGTGCATGAAACCACAAGCTGTTAAGGAAGCAAAATTCAAACTTGAACATCAGATGTGTACTTTGTCAAGACAACTTAACGCACCTATCCAAGAAAATCCATGTAGTATATGGAGGTATTCTTTTCTCTTCTGGAAGTTTAATGGGACGTACGGCGTTCTTGACTGCAATACTTGATCCTAAAAGAATTGCAGAAGTGGCGTATCCGTCATCTTCAGAGCTATTGCTATCATCATCTCCATTATTGGTATCAATGCCATTTTGCATATCAATTGCATCCTTCTGCCTTTTCGATAGTAGATCAACTGTTCTGTCAGCACCAAAGATCTCAAGAGATTTTCTCTCTGTTGCCAAATTGTAAAGATCCTTTGTCAGATTCTCCAACTTTTGTGTATTTCCGTCTACCCTTTTCTACGAAGAGAAGAGAACGGGTCTCATTAGTTCAAATATAGTAAAGTACCTATAATCAAAATTCAGAACTGATTATTGGGCAGAATGCGGAAGAAACTGAAAGACAGAAAAAGAAAGAGCACCTTTATATACTCAGCACGTTCAGAAGCAACTTTTTCCTTCAAAGAATTAATAACTGATAATACTTCCTCAGGTTCTACAGTTGCTTCTTCAGGTGGCACATTCTGTCAAGAAATTATGATCCCATTAAATGATAATCTTTCAATTTTACAGTAACATCAACAATGCCTCAACCCAAACTACCAGCCATTCGCCATATGAATCTTCAATAACCATTCCACTCCATTTGGATATGTACCATTCCAATTTTGTATATTGAAAAAAAGAAAAAAGGAATTAAGTGTGGCAAGAGAAATAACAATTAACAAATATTGGAATGCACATGCAATATATGGTTTCACTTCCTCAAAATAGGCGAGAGCCTCCTACATGCGACATAAGCAAAAACACCCGAGCACAAATGCACAAGACACCAGCTGAGAGACACTCGGGTATGAAAATAACCCTATGCGATCCAAAAGCAGTAATTCTAAACACAACTAAACAAATAATGCAATAGAAGTCTTAATTAAATGTTCTGAAAAATCTCAAAGACTAGGAGAACAAGATATATAGACACACCAATACTACTAGTATTGTACTCGAGTACACAACACTCTGAGGAAAGGGGTAAATGCACTAAAGAAGCACAATAAAAGGAACATGGGCATTTTGCTGCGTGAAAATCAAAATGAAATAAGAGAACCACCAAAAGAAGACCCCGAAAAAGGAAAGTGTTCAAACTAGTTTCGCAATCAGGAATTAAAGTACCATTCACCCAAGATCTTTTGGATGGCATGAAGACATAGTTGAAATCTTTAGTCCCTTGTTTTTGTATTCTTTATATTACCTACTTGGTACTGAATTCTAATGAAATTGACACTACTTTATAAATAAATAAAAAGTGTTTTACAAGGCGTTTCTGGGGCAAGTCCCGGGGCGGGGCGTAGTAAAAAACACCGGGGAAATTTGGGGGTGAAAGTACAGCGAGGCATAAGCCCCATTGTTCTGAGCGTACACTTAGGCGTTGGCGAGTTCTTTTTTGGTTGGGCCGTAAGCACAGAAAAACTTTCAAATTAGAAATAAAATTACTAAATAAGTCCTTAATTTAATACAAAAAACACAAGAGCCAACTTGTTATTAAATCCTAGAACGTTAATGAACATAAAAGTCAAAAGATTTTTTATTGTTAGACATAATTTTTGTTCTTTCTCCTTGTCTTCTACAGGGTAAAAGGAAAAATGATCAATTTGCAAACTCCAAAGCAAAATGGCATCATCTTCCATCACTTGCTCTGGTTCGACGCTTCTGATGGTAGGTTCATTCATCGCTTTTTCTCTTTTATTTTTTATTTTTTGCTCTTTCAAGTTAGTTTAAAATTTTCTACTAAATTTTTTTTCCAAAGTCTGAATAGTTTTTTAGATGACGCAGTTCTAATTAGTTTTTTACTCAATTGTTGATTATGATTAGCGTTTTAAGATTATGCAGTTCTATATGCATTTTCACTTATATCATATTTTCAAGAAATTTAATTAATTTCAATGTATTTTACCTTCTTTTAATATTTATCTTTATTATATCAATTTATAATATATTAATAATTAAAGATCCACGAGGTTTACGCCCAGAGCCTTGAAGCTTATGCCTCGCCCCGTATCAGGTAAAACAACTCGCCTTGCGTCGGTGCCTTTTAAAACACCGGAAAAATTACCATCCAGTCATTGCTGTACGTTTAGCACATTGAATTTATTAAATTAGGGATGTGCGCTCATTATTATCTCTATGAACAAAGAATTAAGTATTAAAAATATAATTTTTCCTATAAGAAAAACAGATACAATTTTTCCTGCAAGATTCACAACTATACTACAAGCCCTTCTACATGTCCAAACTAGAACTGACAAAGACTCTGAATTCATCAAGAACTTCTTAAGTCAAAACATCAGACTTTATACAACAAGCGAAACAAAGAATAAGTAACTCGTACAGATCAAAAACATAGCTGGCAGTACTTCTTTTCATTAAGCATAGCCGGCAAAATTCATTTTTTGTTGAGAAAATAAACAAAGGAGTAGAAAAAGTAAGATTTACCCAATTATGCTTACAACAAACACTAGGTAATTTCTTCTCATCTACCGAAGTCTAAGCTTTGGTGGATGGAGTTACACGGTACCTGTGTTGGTTAGCAGGTAGTGAATTGATAAAGTGTGCAGGCTGGCCCCTACACCATCAATCATAAAAAGAAAGTTTTTTTGTGGCCAGCTGCGTTTTCCACTGATACGAATTATTATCTATTTGGTTTCATTGTGGGATTATCTACCTGGGACATAAACTAGCTCCAAGAAATAACAATGCAGCTGGTAATTCACTATATAAGTTACGAAATCAAAGAGACTAAATAAAGTTACGATCTTTTCTATGTTCAGAGCAACATTAAGAAATACCGAAATGTAGTTGAAAAGAAAACATTAAATTACAGAATCGACACTGGACGAATTACCGGAAGATCATTTAAAGGTTGGGATATGCAATCGGAGGGGGAGTCGTCGGACACCGACGACATTGCCGTCGTTGAGCACGATCCGGCAACGGAGCTCCGGATATAGATCTGCAAAACCCGAATTTTGCGGGTCGGGTTAAAACCCTAGCTTTTTTGAAGTTTCGGAGAGGAGGGGGAAGGAGCTAGAAGAGGAAGCTCTATTGGGTATATCGCTTTTCTTTTTTTAGTTTGGATTATAGGAGTACTTTTTGGTAGGAGCATTTATTTATTAAATTAAATTAAAGTGAAAATTAAAGAAAGAAATGATCTGTTTGGTGAGAATTTGGTTCTGATCAGTCACTATTATTTTGAATTTTTTGAATTTCAACCTTTCATGTTTTGGGGATGTGGACAAGTTTTCCATTTCTTTATCCAAGAAAAAATAGGAACTTTGGTCGCATTTATTCCAAAAAATCAGTTACACCTCTTACCTCCTTATATCATGTTTGGCCAAGCTTAAAAAATTAATTTATTTTAAAAGTATTTTTGGTGAAAAGTAGCTTGTATTTGACTAATTAATTTAAAAAGCACTTCTACGCAGCAATTAGTATTTAGCGAAACTTTTAAAAAGTACTTGTAAGTATATTTTTCTTAAAAAATGTTTATCAAAAAAGTGTTTCTGAGAAAAAGTTATTTTTTTCTATTTCTCCAAAATTACTTCTCCTAAAAGCTTGGCCAAACACTTTTTCAACTTGGAGAAACTTGGCCAAACAGACTATTATTCTTCTTCAAATAATATTGATTGTGCCCCACATAGGTGATGTGGAAGAAATAGTATTTATTGATTGTTTTTTCTCTCAATCTCATCCTTCATTATTATTAAATAATTTTATTTTATCATTTATGTTACCTTTTTTATATATCGTATCATAATTTTTCTTTATAATATTGCAAGTTTATTCATTATATTGCTAGTACGTGATACCATAAAACGAAGGCAAAACAATACAATGCATCCAAACATTGTATTCATCAAACGATACAGTACAGTATAATTCAATACAAAACGATACATTATGAAACGATATATAATAACCATCCAAACAAGTTGTAAGGGGGTAAAAAGATGCCCAGAAATTGGAGTGTGTACATCATTTAACATACGTTTGATACTATATGCTTCCTCCAAAAACTTGAACTTTAATGTCTGCAATTCTATCCTAACTTGCTCCACAAATTTTTGGAGATTCTTCACGCTCATCATTAGTTGTGTAATATTCTAACTTAGATTCTCCATCCCAACTCGAACGAAAGAGCATTTTCTTCGATTTGTATTACTAGTCTTAAAATATGCACGTTGTGTATGTACCAATTTTGATGAGTATAAAATATTTAAAAAGTTACATAATTATTACATTAAAAATTATTTCACTTGTAAAATTAAATTAAAAAAGTAAAGTTTCTTTAAAATACTAATTTTTAATCCTAGTTAACTAACTCAATAAGAAACAAAGTAACCCGTGTAACTTTTCTTCATCTGCATCTTTCCACCAGAAAATAAAAAGGTTACAAGTAATTTTCTTTTTAACAGATAAGTCTCCCTAATCTAATTAGTCAACACCAAATAGGATATATTCTGGGGTTGGATCCATTGTGAAAATGTCTAATACTTTTATCTTTCTTCTTTTTGCACAAAACAAATAGTATACTTGAAGTAAAATTGTTTCTTGACCTAACAGGCGTTTGGACATAAGAATTGTAAAATTTTAAAAAAAATACGTAAAAAAAAATATCAAGTGAAAATAGTATATGAAAATTAGAGTTGTGTTTGGACATGAATATAACTTTAGGCTATTTTTGAATTTTTGTTAGCGATCTGAAGTGAAAATTTTTAAAAACAGTTTTTTTTTTGGTTTTTTAAATTTCCGAATTTTTTTTGTTTTCAAGCGAAAATCGAAAATTTCATGGCCATATTGATTTCGAAAAACAATAAAAATAAATCGAAAAAATAAATTCTTTTTATGGCCAAAGGTCGCTTGACAAAAGCAATGCAGTATGTTTACCGTGAAAATGGTAACAACAATTAAATTAGTAAATGAGACTCTAAAAATACGTGATCTATTTTTGTGCTAGTTGTTAGAGCAGTTGATGCTAGGAGTATAAAGTTTTAACGAAGAGATACAAGCTAAAACGGAGCAGTAATCAAATCGAGGGGCTTGCTGCCCGGGCTTCGGACTGGTCGATGGAGGGCCTCGGGTCGATATCCGGGTCGATATCCGGCTCGAGCTCGAGCTATCAGGGGTAACTGGGAGAGGGATAACAACTAAGATATAATTAAAGAAGGCTCTTTATGGCCAATATCAAGCAATAAATGAAGAACAAGTATGAAAGCAATAAATGCTAAGAATGGCCTCGAACGAGTAAGAGCGAGTACGTTAGAGAGAAGGAAGAGAGAGAGATATTATTGATCTTGTGGAGAATAGTTGGAACCCCATTTACAGAGTGTTAACGACTCCCCTTTTATAAGAGATAGGAGTCTAAACTTAGTACAAAATATGTTGAGTGATAAAGGAAACGGGATGAGACAGTTAACTAGCTTCATGACGTATACATAGGCTAATGTTAGGCTGCCTAGGTATACTTGATCGACTCCGGATGCACTCTTCGGAGGTTTCTCGTATTCGTCAGGGTTTCGGTTGATGAAATTCTCGGCTGGGCATCTACAGATCTTGAGGGAAGTAACCGGCTCGAGGTCCCGAGCCTCCGGGACGGCCTCCCGAAGCAATTTGCCAATGAGAAATTGGTCCTTCGATTTCACCGTACACACAGTATTTAACAAAATAAACAAATGAAAATACAAAACATTACCAAGTCTAGGCATTGAACAAAATCCTGGACCTCACTTTTTAAATTGCTCAAATAATCCTAGAAAACTCAAGAGCTTATGAACTTGATAAATTATATTTGCCTCATGATAAGAATTTTATAATTCATTCCAAGGAGCTCCACGTCTTTATCGCTCCTAGTGCTAAGTATCTCATTGTATTCTTCTTCTTCCCTAATGGTTAATTTTTCAAAACCAAGATTTCTTCTTTATGAATTAATCCAATATCTGAATAATATGAAAATCTCTAGACTGTCCTCCGGTAGTGAATGTCTATGATCTCCAATTTGAAATTTTGTCGTGCTAAAAGCATTCTCCGATGCTACTGATGATGCTTGAATAGCCAGGATATCTTGGGCTATTATTGAAAGTATTGGAAAAACCTTGCCACGCTCCCTCCACCATGCCAAAAGTTGTTCGTTGCCTTCTTCGTCTTTAATACTTTCCAATACTTTATTAAGATAAGAATCAAGTTCATCATCAATAGAGGAATCAAAACCTGTTATATCATCCATATCTTCCCATAGAACTTTTGCTATAGACTTAGAAATAGAAGGAACAGTTTTACCACCTGTTGTTTCCATAGATTTATATTTATCAAATATTGATCTACCATAAGAATATATGCTAGCTTGGCAGTCTTCGAGAGATGGTTGTTCATTTTCTTGGATTGCTAAACTCTCATAAATCTTACGAACAAGTCCCTCTGCACCTGTTAGTTTTAAAGTTGGGTTAAGTAGGTAGAAATTAAATAAACTTGGGGAATAGGGAAAAAATACTTTTTAAATTTTGAAATCATTTCATTAATGGCCGGTGCATAAGTTAGATTTGTTTTATACTTACCAAATACAACAGAAATTCCACAAATATACCATAATATTTGTGTAACAGTAGGATAATATATGCAAGAAAATTATTGTGTAGCATAATAAAACTTTTCTAAAAATTTAGTAAGCTCTTTGATCTCATCCCAATCAGAATCAACAATTTGATCAGCGGGGGTACCATTATGCATATTAAATACCTTTTGTATAGGCACCCGATAATGATAAGCAACTTTAAGCATTTCATACATAGAATTCCACATAGTACAAATATCTTTTGGAACTTTTCTAAATGGAAGGTTATCACTAGCACATTGTTGAGCAAATTCACGAAGTCTACTCGCTTTATTAGTACGAAAAATATAGTC